TCACTTTGAAAAAGAAGAAAAGAAACACACAGAAGCTTCAGGACAAGGACAGATCTGCTCTTGCTCCTGCTGGCTTGGTTGATAAACCTCTGGTGGCTGTGCAGTGTGACCTCCAGGAGAGCAACACCCGTTCAGGACTTCAAGATCAGCCTCTGGAAACTTTTTTATTTTTTAATCTGACTGATATTTTATTTTTTAACCTGACTGACATCTTTCAGCAAGGCTGGAGAACCACTGAAGTTCACTTGCCTGCCACACCGAGATGCAAAACATCTGTGGATTGCATTCCTGGTTCCTCCAAGGGCTCAGATTTTCTCCAGGGTACATTTAGGGTGTATTTTCTCCTCCATGGGACTCGACACTGTTCTGACCTATCTCGAGCTGAAAATGCAGAGCCAAACCAACATGGATCATCTGGAAACCCCTTGCCTGCAGCACACAGGTGTGAGAAGCGTAAAGCACCGAAAAAAAAGTGTAGATATTGGGGAAAAAAAACACAAGGGTACCGAAAAACACATCTCCTGCTGGCCTCTGCCACATAAAACTTTGGGCTAGACATTAAAGACTTCCATGTCCTCAGACTGAGAACCAAAGACAGGAGAACTTTATCTTATTCTGCATTAATACAGCCTCTTTGGAGCAGAAATAATCGAGGTGGTGTACACCACATGCTTTAAAACGCTGCTTGAGCCAACAAACCAAAACAGAACAGTGGCCCAGCTAGCCAGGGGATGAGAACAGGGCATTTTTTATTCCTGGTTCCTAGTTTCCAGTATTTATTCCCTGAACTATAAAAAAATGGGCTGAAAACAGTCATTATTGCAGTTTACAGGGGACTGGGAAAAATCTCTTTTTCTCCCTTTTGTGCAAGAGCCTGATGACAGACCTGTCAATAGAAATTTTATGGGGCTGAGGAGATCCATCATAGTGCAGAGCAAGGATCTTGTTAGCACAACACCACATAGCACTCGAGACTTTAAGGCTGCAGAACTTTGCAGGCACCTGAGAAAATGTTACTTCTTCAGATAAAAACCACTTTGTGTTAGAAAAACGTATTCCAAGAAAAATGACAGCAAAAGACCAAGAGCCTTCATGTTTGAGAACAAACTATTTTAATGTGCCAGATGCAAAGCAAAGAAGCTTTTTCCTGGTCCAGAGGCAGGTTTGGGCTTCCTGAACCTGCTTCATAGGTTACTTGGAGCTTTCCCCCTTGGGGGGATGGAACTACATGATTCTCAAGGTCCCCTCCAAGCCAAGCCCATGATTTTATGATTCCTTGCTGCTGCAAATCACATCAAGATGAAATATTTAACACTGGGTGCTATATCTGCTCTACCTTGGCTTTTCAAGAGTCTCCTCATTCTATTTCTTGCCCAGAACTACAATTTGTCATTGTCTTTACTGACACTGAAAGAAAAGAAACAACCATTACTTCTCCACAACGAAAAAACTGAAACTGAACTTCAAGCCAGAATTATCACTTTGAGTGACAACCTGAAAGAAAAATAATAATTAAAAAAGAAGGCAAATTGCAAGAGTTCAGAGCACTAAAATAGAAGTGCTATATTTTCTACAGGTCTTGCTTCGTTCATTAATTCAGTCAAATACTTAATTTGTATTAAATTCATTAGCTTTGCTCAAAATTAAATAAAGCAAAAATTAGACAGAGCAAACAGAAAGAGAGGTGGCAAGCTGAGGGCACAAAGCACACCTTGCAGGCAAAGCTGTGAGGGCTCTGGGCTGGCTCTGGGACTCCAGGGTTGCAAGGAGAGAGGTTCAGCCCATCCTTTAGGCTCACATCTGGGGCCTCTCAGTGCCCAACCTGGCTCTGCTGTGGTCAAAAAAACCAGCCTGGCCCAGGCACCATCACCAGCTCTTGGGTATCTCAGAACTCCTGACAGGACCACAGCAGTGCTTCACCCACACTCACTGCACAGCTTTTTATTTCACATCAACCATATCCTGCCCAAGAAGAGTTAATTCAGGGTTTGCTCTTGCACAGCTGAAACCAGCATTCAGTGGGAAAAGCAACAAGCAGAGGAGAGTGGGTCTGAATTCACGTCACCAACACCCTCTGGGGCACCCCAAGAGCACTACATGTTCTAGAGAGCAATAATGCAGATTTTTTATTGTTTTTAAAGGAGGCCTGCAAGAGTTGAAATCTTGTGGATTTCAAGATCCTGGCACAGGTGTGGGATCACAGGGAGGGAGGGAAGAAGGATTCTCTGGGTTCTGTCAAACCACAGTTCCTGCAGCCCCCAGGGTTGGTGTGGTCCCACTGATGCACCCCGCTCCTGTTCCCAGATCCTCAGCTGACAACAGCCTCACATCCATGGATGGGGCACATTCACAGCAAAAACACCTCAGAGAAGGCACATCATCTATTTTAAAGAGAGCAGAGGCAAGGAGAAACAGAGACAGAGAGAGGGAAGAAATGCTAAAGACACCCTATGGAGGGGAAAAAATTGTATTTATATCCAGAATAAAAAGAATAAGGAATTTTTTTTTAAGGAGTCATAATTTTGATGACTTGGAAAAAAAAATCCTATTATCAGGCAGACTGAAATAAAGAAAACCCAGCAAAAATTTAAAAAAAATTGTTTGAGAAAGGGTGGGAAATCAATCCCCAAGCAGTGCCTGAAGTCTGGCAGGAACAAGTTAGTCCTCAGTTTCTCTATAAAACAGCCTGGACTGAAATAGCTCTGGGGTCAGTGAGGGAGATGGCTGGGGAAGAATGTCCTTCCCTCTATCCCAACTAGGTGCCAGGGCCACCAGGACCCAGGGATGTGCCCCTTGGAGGGTGCAGGAGTTGGACTTTGCTGATCCTTGTGGGTCCCTTCCAACTCAGAGCATTCTGTGATTTCTGTGAGAGGTAATCTCCTCCCAAGGTAAGGAGATTTTCATTTTAATTTTGCACTGGTTGCTTTACACAGGAAACGTCAGCTGAATGAGGGGAGTTAATATAATCAGATGCAGCTTAGCACAGCAAGTATATCCAAGCAGAGAAAACAAAGAGAGGCAGGTATAATTTCTCCAGACTTCCCTCACTTCCTATTGCTCTGTCCTTTTCTTTTTTCTGAAAAACTACATGTATTTTTAACACACCAAACAGGCAACAGCAGGGGAACACTGATGGACAGAAGAGCCATATGGGAACCTGCAAAGAACGAACCTCCTTCCAGCTGGATGTTTCCTATCCTGCCCTATAGTACCTTGACAGCACCCAAATGTCTCTGTCAGACTCCCAGGGGTGACACCTTTCTTCCCCATCCCTGCTGCAGAGGTGAGCAGAGATGAATTTAAATTTTCAACGAAAAAAGCCACCACTCCTAAAGTGAAATCCAAGCACCACCAGGACTGACTGTTTTGGGTAAACTGCCTAAGACAACAAAGGACAGTCTCAGGTGGGCCTAAAATCCCAGCCTTGGTTGTTTGGTTGGAATTTTTTTGGATTTTGCTAGTTTTATTTTTTATCTCCTCATCTTACCTACTTTTCAGACTTTTACCCTACTGGAGATAAAAGTATTTACCTTAAATACTTCATCACACTGTGGTGCATGAGACCCTGTGAATCTGGCTATTTCCATGAACAAACCAACTAGCTTGGCATAAAAAATCACAGGAAGCAGGCAGGATGTGGCAGTGGCTGCCCTCCAGATCAGGAGAACAAGTGGGAAGCTGCTTTTTGAGCTTTCAAGTTGTGAATTTTTCTCGGACTTCCTTCCAAAAAACCCTTAAAATTTCAAATACAATTCTGAGACTCCACGTTTCCAGCAAAAGAGAGACAAAAGGAGAATTAAACATGATGTTATGAATGAGACCTCACTGTGTAACAGAAGGAAACCTCATGAATGTCTCCTTTACTCAATAACTGGGGGAAGTCACTGTCTGCAATCAGACTTGCCCTGAATTAAACCTTTTATTGGAAAATCTAAATGTGACCGTACATGGGAACAGCCAGACAAGAAAAAACCCAAGAGCCATCTTTGATCTTCCCGTTCTGTGAGTCCACACATCCTCCAGAACAACAGAGGAAAGAGAAGTAAATTATTTCCAGCATTTCCCATTTCCCTCGGAAAGCAGTAGCTGTACAAACAACTGAGTTCTTCATTTCTCATCTCGGAGACTTTGTTAACAGCAGGCTCAGCCACCAGCACAGAATGGAAACAAACTCAGCATTTGTGCTCATGCCCATCCCTGCTCAAACCTGCTTTACATGGCCAAGCATGACACTGTTCCATATAGACACAAATTGGGATATTGTAACTCAGTAAACGACCTCCAGTTTCTTCTCTTTTTCCATCCCTGGCTCTGTCACAGGTATTTAAAACCAATTTCTAACATCCTTTTCACCCTTGCAAGAAATTCCCCCCAAGAAATTTGCACTCTCCCTGTTCTCTGGTTACAAAAACAAAGATTTCCTGGGTTGTTGCAGCACAGCTCACATCCACGCTCATAACTGGTACCACAATAAACAGCAGGGAAATCAAAACCATCGTGCTATAAAATACAATTACCAAAAAAAAAAGAGCTGCCCAGATACTTTTTCAGGGTAGCTGTCACACTAAAAACTTACAATCTTCCTGTGTGAAGTGAACTCGGGAAATAGAAACACTCGTAGAGTAGATGGGAAGCATTATGGAGTAAAAATCATCCAGATGTTTTAAACATGTTCTATTTTACACATGCTCTACTCTCTCCTCAGCTTGCCCTTCAAGAGGCACCCAGGTGAAAAGCACGAGGGACAAAAACAATCTGTCTCAAGGAGAACTTTGGAGAAATAAAACAGAGCGAGCATGAACCGGATCCCAGGTCTGAGATCAGAGCAGAGGGCACACACAGCTCCAGCTGGCACCAGCAGCCCCTTCCACATTTCCCCCATCACTCCAGAAACCTCAGGCACACCCCAGCATGTGGCCCCTGAAAAATCCAAACTTCTGCACAGGGACACAGAGCAGAGCCCAGCTCTGAAGGGAAACCAGCCAAAGTGACTCCCTTACCTTCTGTGAAGCTTCCTGTAAGAGTTATGACAACAAACACTTTGCCTTCTGGCTCCAAATCCACCTGAAAAAAAGGACAGGAAATGTTAGAAGATTGGGTTTTTTTTGAGGCAGAAATTCTTCTTGGTATTTTGCACGACTAATCCTGCCAGCATTTGATAATACTTGAACCTTTGTATCTTCTCATGCACACTTTAAATTGAAAAAAAAAAAAAAAAAATCAAGCATCCACTGCCCAAATTGTTCAGCATTCAGGGCTCCATAAAAATAAGGAATTAGATTCCTTCTTTTTCCTAGAAATGCTGAACAATCTCAACATTGCTAGGGGAAAGAGAGGTTTTAAAAAAAAATACAGTTAATAGTGTTCCAATTTGTGAGATAAATGAAGCAGGACTAACACTAAATTCTCTGAAAAGATCAATGCATATCTGTTTCGAGAATTATATGGATATTTCCTTCCTATTATACTTTAGCTCAGTGAAATTGTTTCAGTCTCTCAAAATACCATCAATGCTGAGGCAAAGGCTGATTTCTTACATAAATCACCTTTTGGCCTTAAACCATAGGAAATAGAAAACTGTTAGTACTGTTACCTAAGGACTTCTTGTCGTTTAATCTAAATTAGATAGAGATGGAGATACAGAACATCATTTTAGGGATCAGAGATTCAATCCCAGAGTCAGTCAGCCTGTCCTTGAAAGAAAGCATTTATTTTTTGGTGAGTGGATTTTTCATTTTGAGATACATTTCTAATAAAGGTCTTGCTTTTTGGTGGTTTTTTTTATTCACCGGCTAAAATCACAGCTAAGGATCCCTGAAGTTTGAATCAGGTTGTCACACAGAAATCTCACTTAAAAAAGCAAAAACAAAGAAAGAAACAACAGGGCACCCCCCAACATTTCCCACAAATTTCAAGGTGAAAATTAGCAAAGAGGAGCTTCACACCTCCTGGATATTGATAACCAGTGGAGAACAGGAATTTTGAAAATAGAGGTCTCTGGGGGAATTAATAAATACAATAATCCAAACCCTCTCTGCTCGTCCTGCACAACCACAGCTCAGGCTCACCTCCTGGGGCAAGAGGAGGGGAATCACAGACAGCCCTAAACTTCCCTAGCCCACATTTTGTTGCAGAAGTAAAGAAATTGTTATTTAAAATGCTGGGAGTTTGTGAAGAAATATTTTCAGGAAAAAACAAAAAGGGCAAACATCTTATTCACACAACTCCAGCCACAGCTCAGAGGTGTCACGCACACACCAGCATCAGTGACACAAAACAGGGAAGCTACAACTGTTTGGGAAAATCCTACCCAAATGCTGATTTTATGGACACTATATTCTCCACTAAAAAAAAAAAAAAATAACAAAAAAAAAAAAAACCCACATAAAAATCAGTCTCACAGGGAAAATTTAAAGTAAATATTTAGCTTTGACTCAATATTAATTTTTGTGCTTGTTTGCACTGCATATTACACTGGTTTTAGGAAGCTGTGTTTGAACAGCCCTCTGTCTCCATTAATATTGAAGACATTCCCAAATAGATTTCAACTCCAGCAGTATCATGCCTCATTTTTGCCTAAATTTGAGTACTCTGGAGAGGTGTGCAGCTTTGTAAAGAAATGCTTCTTTCCAAAATATACAATACCAATAATACATAAACACGCAAACTGACTTTGGGGATACCAAGAATTCAAGTTTTATGGAAAAATCCTTACTCACTCAGGTTTCCAAAATCATTCTTCAGTGCTTATCATTTTCCTGCCAGTCTCCATACAGGTCACATCAAACTCCTGCTTCCACACTACAAAGAGGATCCTTCCTCCCTTCTTCTGACCCACTGGAGGGACGTGGAATAAATCCTTATTCAGCCGCAAAAGCAAAGGCTTGTCAGGACTGAAGCAGCTGGGCTGAGGCCAGGAGATGCAAGAAAAGCATCACCCACCTTGGACACAGGGCACAGACAAAAACTGCCCCAAAGTCCTGCCACACCTTGCTGTCCATCTCTGCAAACAGGATTCCTCTGCCCCTAGCACAGCACGGTCCTCTGCCCAGAGCAGGCTCACAAAACAGAAACAAAATCATTCAGAAAGCAAGAGCAGGAGATTTATGAGAGTTATAAAACAATCTCTCTCCCCTGCAGACTCCAAGATTAAAGTCCAGTCAAATCCCATACACCTACAAGGCAGCTGGGCTCAATGTTGTACCGCAGCCCAGGAGCGCTCAGCCAAGAGGACTCAAGATACACTCGAGATCTTCTCACAAAATGTGTAAGGAGGATCTAATTAAAAATTACAGCTGAAAGGCTCAAAAATGAGGCTGAAGCTCCAGCATGCCAGGAGCTGCTGAAATTTTGGCACACCAGCACTGATGGATGCAGGACTAGGGGAATTCTTGTCCTAGACAAGAGTTTAAACCAGACAGTCCTAAGTGTTTCTCTAGCCTTAAACTGATAGCAACAGCAATGACAAAAGATAAGATATAATGAAATTAAATAATAACAGACCACAGGGAAAAGTCTGGCTTTTGTGATCTCCTTTAAGGATGAATTTGGCCAACTAAGTAGCAGCCAACACAGCAYCTGAGRTAASTCGYRGAAYACGCCYAAAACAGAAAATAACGCCTGGCCTSAGAAACTGAAAGGAAAATGTCTGATCACAGACCTGCCCTTCAGTGAGGCGGCCTGAGAAACATCAGCAGCACCCCGAGATGTGCTTCCCACCATCACACAGACACCCCAAGCCATGGCCACACCAGCGGGGTGGCCTCGCTGGCAGCCTGAGAGCTGCTCACACTTGTTGGGGCCACAGCCTGCGCTGCCACCACAGCCCCGGGGCTGAGCTGGGTGAGAACAGCGAGCTGGTCCCAGGGGTGACCACAGGCAGCCCTGCAGCACAGCCCCTTGTGCTCCTGCCCCAGCTTCACACCTCCAACATCACCTTCACAGCTCCAGCATCACCTTCACAGCTCCAGCATCGCCTTCACACCCCCAGCACCGCCGTCACCAAAACTGCACACGCGTCAGGACAGCTCCACCAGCCCAGCAATGGCAGCAAAAGCAGAAATGCACCCTGAACCATCTGAAAGCAGAGACCCACGGATCAGGAGGGTGGTACCCCACTGCTTCCCCAAAAGGAGGAGCTCCTGATACAAGCCTTCCTTCAATCTCTTCAGTCACCAAAGCACTTCCATCACCAGCACCGACGTCCACGGGTGGCGAGGGCTCCTCAGCGTGTTCTGTTATTTAATGTGAGCACTTCAAAAGGAAGCAGCTGCCAAAGGACTGGCCCTGCAGCCATGGAAGGGATAACCCCAGCTGGGCTGGCAGCCCAGGCCCTGACTCCACACTGGCACAGCCCCAGTGATGCCAGCACCTGCCAGCATCAGCAAACACCCTCGGGACCCAGCCTCCCAACAGCAGTGTGGGTGTAGCACAAGCACCACGCAGACATCAAGTTTTGCTCCTCATTTCTTTTCTATTTTTATTTCCCAGCATTGACCATGGTTGCCTAAAGACAATAAACCCTACATTTTTTTTCAGAGAAATATGGTGCCGCAGAATTAATCTTGACAGAGTTATTAAAGTCCAAAGCAGACCATGAAATCAGTTTTGGGTCAACAATGCAGCTGATGTTCTTTCTCAAAGGAAGCAGGAGAGGCTCAGGGAAACTCAACAGCCTGAAGGCAGCACAGATGATGCTCAGAGGGAACTCCTACACCATAATATAAGAGATAAGTGATACAGGAATGTAATCATCCATATGTATTTGACACAATCATCAAAGGGTAATATGTACAGAGGAAAGTTTTTTAATGCCAAGATCCATCTGGCATGGGATAACTTATTTTAGGGAACCACAGGCTTATGCCTGGAAGGTTTAGTATCAAAGCCAAAGGAAAAGTCCTGTTGTATTGGGAGAAGCAAACAAGAAGTCTGAAATTCTATGCATGCCTGATATTGTGCATGCTGTGAGGTGGTTTCAGAATAAATCAAACTGAACTGGTGGCGTGCAGCATCACACCACTGGCAGGCAGACCTGTAAACAACCATCCCCTATCTCCAGCACTTTCATCCTGAGCTTGGTCCCCTAGGCAAGAACCAGGAGGAAAAGCATAGACTTTCTGGCTGGTTTAGAGGTAACCTGGCCAAGTTTTACCTCACTGGGAGAGGAAAATGTGCTTATCAATGTAGTAAATCCTTCAGTCACCCTCAAGGAAATGAAGGCAGTGCGTCTGTCCGCAGCACAAAGGTGGAAAAGATCAACTGCTGGAGCTCAGCTGGAGCTGTGAGAACAACACAGGATTTCAGCCCAGAGCTAAGCAGAGGCTTTAACTTCTGTTGAACTTCACGGGAAATGCAGCACTGGAGGATTTTGGCAAGCAAGCAGGTACGGGATGATGAGTTCAGCCACGGCCTCGTCACGCTCCCACCATGAGGCACGAGCCCGTGCCAGGACAGCGTGCTGGGATTTGGGAACTCCACTCCAACCCCAAAGCTCTCCGTGGTGCCCATGCCTGAACTTGCCGAGACCGTGCTGCTCCACGTGACTTCAAAGGGAGCTGCCAGGGGTTGGCTTCCCACAGGAGGGGCCCCAGTCAACCACCTCACTCATCTTCCCCAGAAAAGAGCTGCACTAACATGGTTCCCAACAACAGGGAAGCTGCTATTTACTCCCCTTCGCTCTGTTACAAAAAAAAAAAAAAGACAATTTAAGAGCAGAGCAGATGCAGGGAGACCAAAACAGAACACCTTAATCACACGCCTCACACATACAATAAAAACTGGTCGTGCATGATTCATCAATGGAAGAGGTTTGGAAAACAAATTCAGAAGGAGGGTAATCTCTCAGCCAACATATCAACACCCAGCTGAAGCATCCACCGAACTGGCAGAGCAGGTATTGTGAGTCGGCTCCAGAGAGCCCTTGGGAAAGGATGGGAAGAGGCAGATCCAAAATGTGGCTGCCTGTGAGTCTCTTGCTCTCCAGAGGGGAGATGAGGTCGATAAGGTGGGCCTCCAGGAGGAAAAGGAATCCCCAACACTGCACCTGGCACGAGCATTAAATCTTGTGAACACAAGTTTGGAAGATTTWTTTTTTTTTTCCCTTCCCAYCGYCACAACAGA